CTAGACCTCAACCAAAAGTGAGGTCAACAAGGAGATGGATTTGAAGAAGAAGGAAGATATCATGAGGAATAAATTCATTAGTCAGAGTGCACAACAAATGCATAATGGCTTCTTAGCCATTAGTATTAAAGGTAAATCTGAAATGGTCAACAAAATTGAGACTGTCATGGTTTTACTAAAGACAAAGGTAATTGAGATTCATGCACATCTGGAGCATATTGGATAGCAATTGAAAATACAATTTAGCCATACTAGTTATATAGAGGAAGCAGATAAGGAGATGTATCTTAAACAGAAATGGATAGAAGAATATAGTATCAAAGCACACCACCACCGTCTATTTTATCAACTTTATATTCTGATGGCCCTGGGACAGACTAATGAAAGACCAGAGTTTGTCGCAACAAATGAAGAATGGAATTAATTTCTATGTTAAAGTTTGTTGGTTAGAGTCATTGTTTAATGTGTTATGTGTTAAGAGGTAAATACTATTTTTGGGAGTTTATGTTCATTTGTTTAGTGTTTGTATTTAGAAGATTTCCTCATTCGAGACTATTCGGAGTGAGAACTAAGTGTTATACGTATTTGTACTTGTTTGTGAATGAATGTATATGTTTATTTTTTTGAAAAATTGTGATATTCTTAGCCTTGAATCAAATTAGGTATTTTGAAGAATTTAAAGAAAAAGGAGAGTTAAGGGAGAGGAAAATAGTCATTTAAGTGTTATGAGACCATTTAGGGGTGGTATACATAGGCTTATAGTGCATTTTACTTGAGTTCAAAATTATAAAAAACCATGCATTGGCGCCTAAGCGCCACATTCTTGTGCTTAAGCGCGATGTAACCCTAGAGGCAGGCGCCTAAGTGCCACTAATCCGCGCTTAAGCGCCAGTTCATGAAAACTGGTTCACAAACGATTAAAAGTGAAAAACAAACCCAAAAATTGCCATTTTTACTCTCGTTGGCACCTTCATCCTCTCGATTTTGCAATTTTGGAGGCTAGGGCAAGCTATTTTGTGGAGATTTCTTGGTGGAATTGAGAAAAAATTGCTAGATTCAGATTTCTTGAGGTAAGAGCTTCACTTCTATGTAAAAATTTTAGATTTTCACCATGTATTTTGAGTAGATTTGGAAGAATTAAAAAATTACTATTCATGGGGAAAGATGAGGAAAAATCTATAGAAATTGCATAAAAAGTGTAGTTTATACTTATAAGAGTTAAGTTTAGTGGATTAAACTTGATTTTTGAAGTTATTGTGGAGTGAAGCTAAGTTTAGTTTAGTGGATTAAAACACCACCTTAAGGAAGAGAACTAAATGTGCAAAATTGTGAAAGTTTTTGCACATTTAGTTCTCTTCCTTAAGGTGGTGACTGCACATTTACTAAATTCCCCTTCTAAGGTGGTGTTTCCAGCATATTTTTCCAAATACGTTTATAATAGCATAATTGTGAAATTTCTCTCCAATGGTCTGGCCTATTAATTATATCCACATTCTTGAAAAATACAACAATATAAACTTTCAAATTATCTAGTGTTGGAATTCAGATGCTAACTTTGAATTTTATTACTTTGAAATGGTAATATGCAAATTACTTCAAAGATCTTGCATAAAACTAAAAGCTTGTATGATAACATTCTGATTTTGTTGAATTTCCATAAATCCAAAACTTGTATCATAAAAAAATTACCCCAGCACATATATATCAGCAGGCTCCTCCATGTCGAGCCAGTCCTTCATATCAAGATCATCATGGGGAAGTTTACCACCAACATTCCAGGTCCCCACACATATCCTGAGTAAAAGAAGTCATCGCTGAGAAGGAAATAAAACCAGGCTAGATTAGCAACTAAACAGCCAAACAATCATGCCTAAGTTCCTTGGTATTTATATATTGTGCACGAAGGGTCTCGGATTTTCTTCTTTGCCTCCAAAATGGAATTCCGTCAATGTGATTTCCTGAAAAAAGTATGTAAAGTTAATATAACAAAAAACGTTGGTGCCATGAATTTAGATTCTTCTCATGCATTGGAAGTTTCATTCCTTCGGTATAAAAATCTTCATTGTGGAGGATACGTGATAAAAAAAAAAGGATTGACCAAATCCATAAGACTTCCCACCAATCTAATGTAGGATCTAAGGAGAAATTGATGGGTGCAGCCTTATGCTTGCATCACAAATGTTTAGCTTCCTTCCACTGGCATCTTATAAAAAATTAGTTCTTTTTATTGGCTCAACTATATGGATCCAATTTTAGGCGAAATAGATAACACAATCCAGCTAATGGGAACAATCACCATCTGATTTAGCCCCAAGCTCACCTATTCCCCTCTCCTCGTCACGTAATTGGCGCTCCCATTGACACATCTCTGGAGAAAATCATCACATCAAAACTTAGTCCACAAGAGCAAATCCAAGTGGATCCATAAAAGAACTGATCGTTCATCGACAATGGGAACGATTCTGCTATTTTTCTATTGTAGCTTTTATTTCTATAGTTAGGGAGTTTTATGCTAACCTTTCTGAGGTTGAAGATGATTGAGTCATGGTTAGAGCAAAATTGGTACCTTTTTCACAAGAGATAATTAATATGTTTTACTATCTACCACCTGATACTTTGTCTTTTTATGTGAACTAAAGTCCGACTGAGATGGAACAAGATGAAATTATCTCCTATTTGACTGTTGGAAGAGGGCTCTAGAAAATTACAAATGAGAGAGAGTCAACTTTTCAACGTCAAAGTTAAGTGCACCTTCAATGACATGGCACTATTTTATTTCAGCCTGTCTATTACCAACAAATCATCTCAGCGAAGCTACCAGAGAGAGAGCAACATTGAACTATTGTATTCAAGAAGGCAAGCTCATCAATATTGGAGCTTTGATCTATCAGGGTATCATCATTTATGCCACTACCGCTACTACTGCAAGTTTGGGATTTGCTTACTTAATCTTTTCTTCATGTGAGCAGGTTGGAGTGAGATATGATCGCTGGGAGGAAGTACTATTTCCTCTGAAGCCAATTACAAGTGTGAATGTGAAATCATATTTTGAGCATTCTATTTTTGGCTGGACAAGATTTTCACGGAGTTATGGAATTGCAACATCTGCTGCTTCTACATCTAGACCATCTACCTCACGAGCTTCTACATCTAGAGGTGACTCTACGGAAACTCAAAATCAATTATTGTAAAGGATGATGGAAAATATCTATTACACCGCAAATAAGGTACAAAATTTATAAAGCTTTGCAGATCATATTGATGGGTATAATAAAAGGAAAAGTGATTATGTAGAGAAATGTCATTCATTTTTGGAAAACCTCGCCAGAGGTAACCAAGGAGTGCAATTTCCTCCATATCTTAGATAACCTAACTATGAGTCTGCAAATATCTGGAATAATGGTGATTCTAATGATGATGAGGAGGAGTGAGTTATTTTTTTTTATGTTCATAATATGTGATGGACTATGTGGTAAGGACTTGCTACATTTGCATTTGTGTACGTGTGTAGACCTTGTGATGTGTGAGACTTTTATTTTGTTTAATTGTTATAGTGATGTTGAGTTTTGTTAGTATTTTGTTTTAAATTCTAGGGTAGTGATTATTGTTGTGTGTTAATTATTGTGTTTTTTTTAGTTAGGATTGAACTTATTTCTATGTCTTGTGAAAAAGTTGAAAATCTTACTAACTTTAGTTTTAAATTTCAATTTCAAAAAATTGCTACCCTGTATTTTTCTTGTATCTTTTTAGTGTGTTTGTTCTTATGTTGAGACTGGAAATCAAAGTTAGTATGTTAGTTTGTTTTTATGTTTGCACGCAGTACTTAGAAGTCTATTGAATCTCTACATGTTGAATTGAAATGAAAATGATAGAAAAGTGATCAAAAGTTAATTTTACTCCTTTTAGTTTTATACTTGTATAATTAGGGTATAAAAATTTATATAAGCATGTTATTTCAATTTTCATTCTTCCTTATATATATATATCTGCTCCTAAAATGTTTAATCTTGTTGAAAATTTAAGTTTGGGGGGGGTGAAAAATTTTTTCAAACTTGAATTTTATTTGTTCTCATATGTGATACAAGTAAATTTGATTTGAAAAAACAAATGATCACGTATATGAAGTTATATTAGGGAAGTAAAATTTGATTATAGAAATGAGTAAGAAAATTTAATTAAAATTCCGAGTAATGAAAAAAAACTTTCAGTTAAAAATTTGTAGTGTAGAAAAGGCTAAGTATAGTGTAACTATCTTTAGTAAGAAAAATTATATTTTTGAAAAATTTAGAAATGTAAGTCTTTTATTTTTAATACTTAAATATCAAAACTTTGCTTTAAGAAAGGAGAAGTGGAATTCAAAACCATTAAAGGCCTATCAAGATATAGTAATCCTTGCATGAAAAATAAAAGTAAGGGAGAAGAAGCTTGAGGATTAGTGCCTAATCAAAAATTAGTTCCACATTTGAACTTTTTAAAGTATAAGGCTTGAGAAACTCTTAAGCTTGGAGATATAATATGGTAAGTAAGATTATTTATAATAAAAATTTTTAAGTGGAGATAATAAAAGAACTAAATTCTAAATTTGAAAAATCTACATTATTTCTGAATTAGATAAGAACTCATATTTTCATATTTCTTAACATTAAAAATTTTAAGTAAAATATTTCTTAATAAAAAAATTTAAGTGGAGATAATAAAAGGACTAAATTCTAAATTTAGAGAATCTACAATATTTCTTAATTAGATTAGAACTCATATTTTCATTTTTCTTAACATTAAAAATTTCTAAACTTTAAGTTGGTCTCATTTACTAAATAATTTTTTCTAAAATGGACTACTATATTTCTAAATCTAAGTTTTAGTAACTCCTAAAGAAACTCATATACATGTCATACTTATTTAGTTTTTAAAGATTAAAGTGTCACTAATACTTAATCGCAACAATGAAATTCAAATTGCTTATCTGTCACTAATAGTCAATTGAAATAAATATGTAATTTTAATAACTCTTAAATAACTAATTATACTAATGAAGGTTTTAATGTGATATTCAATTTATAAGAAAACAACCTTCTCCTTGTCAAGAAATTATAGTGAATAGATAAAGTGAATCAGTTCAAATTTTGTTGTGCCAAATAGGAGCATACCTATTCTTTACCCTTTGGTCCAAGCATAAAGAACGTTGACTAATCCTATGCTTGTTTACTAAATTTGTGGCTAAGCTGGGAGGATATTGGCTCTTACTTCAGAGCTTCCAAGTTCCCCTCGCCTGAGGGCTAACATCTACACTTCAACACCCAAATTATTGGACCGAATTGGGGATTTTAGTCTGTCACTCTAAAATCTCCAATTCTACGCCTGATAATTTTAGTTCCCTATTTATTTGTATCAAATTTCCAAGGGCTTTGACCTCCCTGAATGATCTTCAATTTAGTTGTAAAACTGAACATATTTTAACAAATCAATTGGCCAGATTGAAAGTAAATTAAGATTGAAGTGAAAAGATCATCATAACTTCTTTAACATTTTCATGGCTCAACCAATTCAAATCATCATTTCATAAATCTCAAGACAAGGAGATAGACAGAGAAAACTACTCAGACCTATGGGGAAAACACAACAAAACTCGGAATTTATATATAAAAGCAAAGTCATCTAAACTACAACAAGTAAATAAAACTTATCTCTAATTTCTCCCCAAGCAAACTCCTCGAAGTTCACTGAATCTCTTCCTTTCTTTACAGTACACAGAATTCCTCTTCGAAGCGTTAAGGGGGAAGAAATCTCTCACTTTCCCTCCACTCTTACAATCTCTCGAAGAATTCCTCACAATTAGGCTCTCTACACTAGTCTCCACACACTAATGGAACCTCTCTAACCTCCAGAACCTCTAGTGCCTTCAAAGCCTCTTCCTGCTTCAAAGCCTCTTCCATTCTCCGCCAAAATCATCTTTTAAAGTTGTGAATGAGATTTCCCAAGAGTTGCCTAAGCACCCCTCC